GTTTCGTTTCTTCGTTTCTTTTTGTGTGAAATGATTCGGCACAGGTGTTGCACGTTTTGAAAAAAATGAAACATTACTGCCAACTGAATTTCGTGTTCCATCTAGATTTTAGCTCTCACGGAAGTGGACTTGAGTGAGTCTGGTTCTCAGGCAGTTGGCGCATTCAGTTTACTTCGCTTTTGAATCGTTAAAAGAAACAGCCAAAATATTAAATCAAAAACACGTCTGGAGTATTTGTGTCGTTGGCAGGCGGAGCTGCGAGCCTGTGTTTACTGCTGCTGGCGCCACGGGCAAGTCATAATATCGCAAGGTTGGCCGACCATATGGCCCATACACGCACTGCAATACGCGGTTTTTGCCTATTTATATGGGCCCTCTCTTATATGCTTCTGGGAACACTTTAGTATGGAATTACATAGACCAGGGATGTCAAGCGACATCGCCTGCCAGCCGTATAGTCAATTTATAGGTTAGGTTAACCAATTCGAGAGTGGTGGTAACTATGTGTACCACCTGCATAAACACTCAGTAATTACATTTTATTAAGAGATTTAATAACGTTTATATTCTGAAATGAAATAATTAAAAATAGATAGAATAATTGTCCTAGTAATTATCGATCTGTTAGTGGATTTACGTGCCTGTAACCTTGGTCAGCAGGCAAAAGTACAAATCAGAGTGACCATGGTTGCCTTTCGCGCTTTGGTTTTGATTATAATACCGATTCTGATCTTAAAGGAAAGAAAGACAATATGTCTTTGAATGTATCAGAAGGACTGAACTAAATATTTGTTTCCCTTTACCCCTACTTAATTTTTCCTACTTATATGTAGAACATGTGGCAATCGGTGTGAGTGACGTATTCTTGCTACGAAGATGCTGTATTTTGGAGGCGAAATACATTTAATACAGGCTTATAATGACACGGCCATTTGTGCTTATTATTGCTTAGGACATGGGCATCGAACATGTACCCCTTATCCAGCAAGCAATATCGTCTGCAGGTCTGCCTGTTACAAGTACATTACTAACCAATCTACTAATTAAAGCCCCTGCAACAATTTCTGAACTCACGGATGGCCAAGAAACACGTCTCAGAATAGCAGGAAATACTAAAAAGTGTGGATGCGCGACTTCTTGAAGGTGGTCGACATTTTTTATGCATCTACTATAAAGCTGTTCCGTAGGTTATCTATAACCAATACAAATTTTAAAAAAAAACATCTCTGTCCTGTCGTATTGACGTCGTCAAACCTTACAATTACTGCTGTAATCAGGGCTTGCTTGAAAAAAGCAAACATGTATTAATCGTAGAATGTCATAACTGTATGATGTGAAACTGAACACGTTTTCAAAAGTAAAAACAAGCGAAGCAGTAAAATAATTAGACACTGCACGGCCTTGTATGAGTTGGTAGTCTTGTTTCACTACACACGCAGTCTGATGAGGTGTGATACCGCTGAGATAAGTTTTTAGACGACTAGACTGACTTGCAGTCTACCGCCTGTTTGTTCACCTCCGTTACCTAATAACCCTCCCCATATAGGGGATTCACCCTTTGAAGCCCAGACATAACTTCATGTAGGGTGCACCTGTTTTAACAATAAATAACAATCCATGTTACCACAGCGGGTTTCATATGATTCTCAGAATGAACAGCTCTGGCGTCTATAACATTACTGACATACTAATCTCTGTAGTCGAGACGAGTTGTGTTTTTTTTTGTTCAGGTGGGAACTTAATTTTTAAACAATATTTAGATTAGCTTCGTGCTTGAAAGGATCAAAACAGAATATGCATACAAACTTTTAACACACTTTAGGTAGCATTACTAACATTCTCAATTAGTTGTTCTATTACAGCTCGATTTTTACTTTACTTAACGACTTTTTGTCAAATGCGTTGACTAGCGCCGAATAAGAAATAACATGATGGGTTTGGGAGGATATAAAAGGAAGCGACAATGATCAATTTAAGGCACTATTCCAGCGACAACTTTCAACTAACTCCATGGAGTAAAGCAGAGTACGCTCAACTAGTAACGAAATTGAATCAAAACGCTTATTACCGCGTTCACAAGATCCCACCATCTGTCCCTTTCCCGAGCCAGATGAAAGCAATCCACCTCCGAAAAACTATTTCTCTCAAATAGATATTAACATTTTTCTCTTGTCAACACCTAAGTTTTCTCTTCCCTTCAGGCTTTCAACTAAAATTGTATGCACTTCACACCTCTCCTTGCGTGCTGCGTGCCCATATCATATTGATTTTATCATCCTAATAATATTTAGTGATGAGTAAAATTTATGGAGATCCTCATTTGCAGTTTTCTAAAGCGTCCTGTCACTTCATCGGTGTTAGATTCCAATACTTTCTCCTAAGAAAAGCAGCGCCCTGTTCTCAAAAAAATCGTTCTGGTACCTCCCGAATACGAAGCAGACACATGAACGTCGATAATGTGAGGCTTATTTTAGGCTACATGTAGATTTGGTTTTTCTTGCCAATTCTATTTATAGCGTAAACATTATTATGTTCTTAACCGCCAGCAGTCTTCGAGGCATCCTCCGTTCTTGTCAATCATTACACTTGTCGGCATGAATTGATGTCATTCATCTCCGGGCGAATGGCATCGCATGCCATGTTCTTACGTTTCCTCTGCCTGTCGCGAGTTAACATTCAGCTCCTCACAACGACAGAGTCTACTTCTTTGTTTTCTGTATGTGCTGTAATTAGTTATAACAACTATTAATTATAGCATAATACATATGTATTTAGAAATACTGATGAAGACATTGTACACACACTTCGACCCTAAAGAGACGATACGTTCCTCTGAAACGTCGGTAATCACCTACAGGACTAGATGGTATCACAATGCAGAAAACCACACTCGACACTGCAGCAGATTCGGTGGTACGGACACGAACTAACAAAGAAGAGTTTTACAGCAGATCGTTTTGCAGTGAACAGATAATTTTTGCTCATGGTGACGGGATGGCAAATAACAAAGAGATCATATGCGGGAACGTGACGTATAACTAGTTTAAAATTTTTTAATCTCCTGAAGATGGTTTCAATATATTTAAATAGTGCATGTGGCTACACACCAAATGAGGTACACATTTGTATTGTTCCTTTTTTAATTACCTTGTGATCCGTGGGCTATAGATCGGTTAATATTTGTATTTCTGTTACTATGACGAAGCTCTTTAAATATATATTTCTGGCTAGTGACTTGAAATTTTGGTATGTCTTCTTCGACGCAACAAAGGCTACGTGTGAAAAAATATTGTATCCGAAATAAATTAAGATGAAGACAGATGAACGATGTATGTAAAATTTAAAATAAAGTGAAACGTGAGGGAAATTTTCCACTCTTGATACCAGATTGACAATATTCTACCGATAATTATAACATTTATTTTTTAATTTTTCACCGTTACGTCATATGGATTACATGTGTGTACTTTGCCAAAATGCTGCTTACAGCTCCTAGACTATTTAAAGAATCTTATGCTCGGATTGGCCACTGTATTGCGACTGAACTTTATAAATGAGAGCCACTTTGGATAACAACAGTGGGATAATAACGGCAGTGTAAACACTAAATCCTCGCAATAAACAAGACACGTGTAAGCACTTCTGTCCAAGTTTTGTGGTCCCTCGTGATATTTCTATTTATCGTGTCGACCTTGACTGCGGAATTCTATATAGTCCTACGAGCTTTATGCCACTGTTGCCCTCAGAGGCGCCTGGACAGCGCCACAAAGCAAAGTGAATGCATTTGACTGATCAACTGCTGTTAACCAACCTCTGACCCACCAAGCCTTCACAGCACAATTATGACTGCATCGAGTCATGTCGGAATGGGAAGGAAAATGCTGTTGTTTCAATTACTGGGACTCCCCACAAGTATTTATAGAACATTAGCCATCTCACATTAATTTAGGGGCCCAGGATGAATTCCCCGCTGGAGTGGAGGTTTCCGCCGTTTCTGTCTAGAGCTGATATTCCCAGCTACAAGGGTGTTGTGCCCTCTTTATACCCTTAAGAATCCCAAAGGACGCAAAAATCCCGTCTTTCTAATTTTAAACTACAGTTACAATTTATTTTGCCTGAGACCGCTTTGAGCATAGGTTAAAACTCTACTGGTTTCAGAATATTGACGACAGTATTATATCGAACGGGTTAGAGCAGCGTTAACGCACTACAATTAGATCCAGGAAGTACCCGGTTCAAATTCCGACCGATTGCCTCTGATTGTGACTGGTTTTCATCACCTAGTTTTCTCCAGGTAAATTCAGGGATATTACTTCCAAGTAGGTCATGACCTAGACTTTCCAGATTCTTACCAACCCATCTCTCGATTATCTTCCCAATTCCCTCTACACTACACACCCATTCGAATACAGTTTAAGCAGCTTTGTCGTACAGCCTAACACACGAATCAGTCAATAGTGCAGGATTTAATGTTTTCACGGCGGTGAGTAAGAAGATGGCTGCTTCTGGGTTGTAGCACTGTGTAATCTGGTAGGAGTTTACCAACATTTCAGAGGTCCTTGCTGCCTCCATCACCAGGGCGATCATACTACATTTAACGTCACCGAAGTATAAGTCCAGTAATGGGAAATCCCCTTACATAATCATACCCAGAGGCAGAGTGGTTACAGCAGCCAATTATTTAAATGAAATTCTTCTGATTTTCAGCTTGGAACTCCGATATAAAAGTTGTTTTGAAGTTGAATTACGTAGACGGACGAGACCTCAACACCATGCGCTTATTTTAATAACATTGTAAATTGCATAAATCCAACAAAAATCTCGATTCCCTTTCGAAATGTGTCGACCTTAACGCGAGATACCAGCGCTATTCGTTTAACTATATATCTCGTGAAGCAGGTCCACCGTTTTGTCTGTATCTGTGATTAATGTACAAGTTTCAGTGTTAGGAAGTCTGAACGGGATATCTTGTGCTATAAATTCACCATCCTTGTCCATAGGGTCTTCGGCGGGAGGGAGCTGTGAGCTGCGAGGGACGGAAATTCTCTGAGAGGCGCCGTGAAACCCAGCACAAACTACAAGACGACCATTGCATCACATATGTAAGCACATTCTTTATTCCGATGTTGCCGAATTTACTTCTCATACAGCATTTAATTGGAGTTGGTGAGAGCGTTATTCACAGCATCCTGATCCGCATCGCACCATTTATAATTACACGACCAACCTCTGCAATCAACATCCTGGTACTAGAACTTGAATCACGGAAGTTTGCTGTTGCTGGACGTGCCCAGAGCCAGAGTATATCCAACTACATTTTCTTGGGAAACATTGTAAAATTCGAATGTCGCTATCTGGGAATATATCACGTAGACAATCGCTGGCGAGAGGCGGTCCTCAGTTTAGAGGCTAGGCTTGAGGTCAGCGATCATTTACTGCATAATTTTGTTTGTCAGAAAACAGACGAAGGCCGCGGAATTAAAAACATAACATGTTAATGTATTAAGTTAAACGCCATATCCGTGTCTTCATAGTTTATTTAACTACGCTTTCTCACTACATCGATTAAAGTGAATTAAAGTTATAACCGTCGAAATTCAACGGGCAGTAAACATGATTTCTACATTTCACCAAAAAGTAAATTTTTGTAACTTTAGAGATTACACTTTTCAAGTTTTCCTATGGCGCGCTATGTGTTTCTGACACACCTGTGGCTGATTTTCTAAACGGAAAAAGTCATTAATGTTCTCGGGGTTTCCTATCCAAGTGGGACATTTACTTTTGTTTACAGCAGGTTCTAACTCTGCGTTTAGCTTTATAAATAATAAAAATCTACAATTATCCCGCTGCTGTCTGTACAAGAGGAGGAATCTGGAGGAAATGGTAATTTTTCTTATGAACTGCCATTCGGCAGAAATTGTCTGTATTTTTTTTTAGAAACCGCTGTAATTAATTTTCAGTAATAGAATAAGTCGACAGTTTTCCCGCATTATCTGTCCGAAACGTCCTTTGCATTTTACATTTTTCTCTCGGCAGCGATTTAAGGTTACTTCATGTACCAACCAGGCCGACTAGTTTTATAAAGAACGTGTGTATGCAAATACCCTATTTCCTGACGGTTACAAAACAAGACAGTTATGAATATATCTTGAGACAACGAAGGAAAACTTGATTACGTATAATTGAGCCATCTATGCCCATCTTACTAGGCTAGATACTGCGTTTTGTATTCTTTTTGAAATGGTTACTTTGCTACGGCTTTGATAATCAATTTTATGGCCTGAAGGGTTTCATTCAAATGCCTTGGTAACTTTAAAAATCCAGTTATATGTTAAGTGCACTTAAATGTGATTATCTCACTGTTAATGTTTTGCGATGGTGATATCATAACCGAAGTAGTTCAGATGGCTCAATTACGTATAATTATGCTGTACCGCGGTGTACCTTAACAGACCTCGCAAGCAACCTTGCTTCATGTGGAATGTTTGTATTTCAATGTAACTATGACACAGGTCCGATCGATGTTACCGCACATTGGTTCTTATTTGTAACCCACCTGCTTCAACACGGAATAATTAATTATATTTTCTTTTCATAGACTATAGAGGTTATGTATGATTCTCAGAGTAAACAGTGATTACTTTCTTAAACAGAATAAACCAGCTGATAGTTAATGGAGACGCGTTGTGTTCTCTTAGCGGTACGGACTGAATTTCTAACTATAATTTAGATACGTGAGATACGAAAGTATTAGACAAAGAAATTAATACTTTCGTCACTGAAATCGCCGATGTCATGAATATCCCATACTTTACCCTATGCTGACACGATTTGTGCTTATAGCCCGTAGATTAAATTTAACGCTGTAAATGAGAGCAGTTCACAGTGAACTTGTTTTATGAGTTCGGATTGTTGCAGTGTTCGTTTAATACACCAGCATTAACATCTCCAACCGTCGTTTAGTTGTACCGTATTTTCTACTGCTGGATTAACGCTGCAATTTATTTTCCTTTTTATTCATAAATTCAATTCTAAGTTTATCACGCGAGTGTAAATTTCGAATTATAATACTGAAATAAATAACATTCAACACAGAATTGCCAACTTAAAAGAAGCAGCAGCAATAAAACCAGAGTATGTTACACTTCCAAACTTTGATATCTAGCAAATGACAGGTTGTTTCTAACTGAAGCGCAGATTCACAGAAATCAAAGCCGTAGACAGGTCTAAATGTTCACTGATACGTACAGACAAACGAAATTTGTGTTAAACTCTCGGGAAATTCAGTACAAGTACCCTGGTTAGATGTGTCTGAATTGTTATTAATTTTTAGTATTTGTATAACAATGACACTAGCATCTATGTAAATAAGACTTGATTTAATGTATGCTAAATCATGTAACAAAGTAACCCAGTTTTATTCTGAAAATATAGTTAGTCGGTAAAGCATGCGTTTTGGGTTTAGCTGTTATATTAACGCTAACAACACGATCAAAAATAACTTTTAGACCTTCTGTTTTACAATAGCTTATCCTCCTACTAGCATTCAATCCTCACGATTGATTAGATTCGTGAACTCAATAAGTTTTTCCACTGTTTACAGACATTTAACATCATCACTTGTAGAGATTTATATAAAACAATAAATTCTTCAATTCCCATTACATATGACAGTTATCTAGAACGAACAATAACAAACACCAAGTGATATTCTTAATGCCTACGTATTACATCTTCCGCATAATCCAATGCTGATAACACAGATTATTTAAGTACAGAGCAAAAGAATGTCGTAAAGCTATATTGGAGGGAAATGCCCGTTTAAATTCAACGGGGAGGGACTCATTTCTTGTCTTCTTCCCTTGCAGCCTTTCTATCTTTTCCTTATTCGTCTTATCCTTTCCAGTCCCTTCCCTCGCTGTATTACTTTCCAATTACTTTCAGTTTAAAACAACATTGAAATCTGAGTTATTCAATCGATTTCGTCACCTATCTCGTGAGTGCACCTGAAAGAAGTATTTGTAAAATAGAATAATTTACCATACAATATCGTTCTGAGAACTTTAGGGCCTTTGTGAGCTCTACTGAACACGCACCAAAGCAAGCAAACATCAAACTAGGTTTTATATAATACAGGTATACGAAGTAATATATAAACTTTCAACCAAGGTAAAATTGACAACAATAAACCAATGTTGCAACTTATCGGTCGATATTTTATTATACTGAGAATGATTTCCTCAATTAAAAAGATCCATAATGTACAGAAGTTTATTTTAATAACGACATTTCCAATTGACTTATTATCACCGAAGGTAAAATGACACGAAGAAATATGAAGTTCTGTAAGAAACGCAGCACACAGATTAACTGACTTTGTATTATATATATAAAATATAAAACAAAAGCAATAGCTAGTCATAACCACAATTAATGATACTGATCACACAACGAATAATGACTTACAAGTACCATAATAATGTTGCTTATTAATGTTATTTTGATTAGTGACTTGTTAAAACCATTACTGTCAAACGTTAAGTGTTGAGCTCATGGTGGGTCGAGCCCAGTATTACATATTACATAAGTTTAATAACTGACGGGTACATGTACACTGAAGAGTTAATGTTGATGGACAGGTGAATGGATAGCACATGGATGATGATATAACCACGACCGTACAAATAAAACAAGTTTTCTCTGCAAGAGAGACTGCATGGATGCTGTTGTGGCCGAGTCGGATAATGACGACGAAAGTAGCAGTTTTAAGTTACATGAACATCAAACGACCCGAGAGGACTGGACGCTCAAGCGGCAGTTTCCAGAAAAGTTATTAATTATTTACACACAACAGTTGTAGGGCACTATACATAAAATCCTGTACAAAACGGAAATCTGGCTTTATCGAACAGTTTCCGGCTCCAAGACTACAGAGCATTGGTCGCCAGCCCGCTGGCGCAGAA